GCTTTTGCGTTTGTATTTCTCATCTGCTTTTTTCTGCCAGCTTAACAGAGATTTTAAATCAAAACCTAATTAGACTACATATGCTGTTTAGGAAAAAGTTCTTAGGAAAGTAATGATTCATATAGGCTTTGATATTTCCAGATAACATCTGAGAAGAAATGTGATTTTAATTGTTTTAAATAACTTCCAATCACCCTCTTACTCAAATAAAAGTAGTTGAGCACAGTTCTTTAATAATAAAAAAAATTCTTCAGTAAGAGAAATACCGACTCCATATTCCTATCAACTATATCATCTGCACTTAATGATGAAAGTCTTTATTGACACACATTTTTCAACTAAGTACTATTATAACTTAGGTATTCTATGACATATTTTTGAAAACAATACCATAATCCTCAAATAAGAAGTTGCCAAATTATATTTAATTCCTGAAAAACAAAAATCTGTGTGTACATGTTGAGCACCTAGGATGTCAGCCAAAGTTTGCTTTTTAGCAATGTTGATATAAGAGATTGGTATCTTTTTATTTTTCCTCTTTGATATTCTATGAGGGAAAATGAATTATTTTAATGTTATTTTAAATATAATGCACTTACTTGAATTATACATTTCAATATTTTTACTGGTGCTAAGAAAGCCCACTTTTAAAAACTCTCAACTTGCACTAGGTTAAGGAAACTTGTGTCAAAAATGATGACTGGTGTCTTGTTCAAACATTAATAAACACATGTGCCAGGAAAGCCCTGGCCTCTGACACTTAATCACAAGGATGTAAGCTCCACCTTTAAGGAAAAAAAAAAAAAAAGAAAGAAAGAAAAAGAAAAAATATTAAAAATTTTTACATTTTTATGTCCTACTTAGTTATTTGACCCAGTTCTTAATCAGAAGTAGCCAGAATTTTCTTCTATTCCACAGAGCGATTGCCTGCCGCCTTAAGAAGAAAAGCTTGAGTATTTCCCCTGATAGAAGGCTGACAAGTCATAATGAGGAACTGTGTCTTCCAACATCAAGCCAATACAGTTTCTGTTAATTGTCTGAATACTGTGCTGTGACACACTGCACATAGAAATTATTTTCTGGAAACCAAGAAATTATACATATTTCCAAGACAAATCTCTGCAAAAATAACCACAAATTTATAATAGGCAATAACAAGATTTCATAAGCATTTTTTAAAAATCTGAATTCAATTTCAAACAGAAAAGCAGAAGTGTAAATCCAGATTTCCAGTTACTCTGCTATTTTAGTGATTCAATAAAGCTACAGAAATTTGTTTCACCATCTAGCTGAATATGTAATAAATTCAATTATTTCTCTTATGTTTACTCATTACTAATATGTGACTATCAAGACAAGGAAACAATATATAGAGACATCAGACTTCAAAAAGAGTTTATAAGAAATAAGTTGGAGACAGATATATAGTGAGACATCACTGATATCCCAAGCTTCTAAACAACACATAAAGTCTACTGACATACAAACAATATAAAAGGCATATGCATATTCATTGATACTACCAAAAAATAGTTGTTTTCCAAACGTCAAAAATTGTCAGCATTTTCTACAAAATTTTCAAAAACCCTAATGCAACTCAATAGAAGTTTGATGGTAAGTGTACAGGACAGTACACTTACAAAAAGCAAACAAAAAAACCCCTGAGTATAATCATATATTAAAACTGAAACTCACCACATAGAATACCTAAATGTGATCTGTAACTCAAACAACTCCTGTCTACAAAATTCTGCAATATAAAGCAATTACTTTAAAATATTCTTCAGAGACCAGGAGACATGTAGTGGAAGACAGAATATTTTGAAAGTATAGTTCATCTTCTGCTTTCAGATAAAAGAATGAAAACATAAAGTCTGACGTTTATACTCGTGCATTTGTGGTACGTACTATCTGGTATCACCAAGAGTACTTTCTAGAAAGGCATAACTTGTTGAGAAACCCACCATAATCTTCACACTTTACTGTGAGAACTGACTGAGTTGAGGATGGTGGATGGTGTTGGGGTGAGTTGGGGAAGGGGGAAGCAACACCCAATTGCAAGTTTATACTTGACTGTTATTCAGAGTAAATTTTATTATTGTTTATCATCAGCTATAATTGGTCAACTGGATGAAAATATCTCTTTTTCTGTGAACAAAGCTGCCCTCCAAGAATGCTAAAGACATCTTAAATATAAATAGACTCGTTAAAAAGCCTTTCATTGCATTGAGCCAAGGCTTATATACATGGTTATTGAGTAAAAGCAGTATTTCTAGAACTTGCATCTTAAATAGACTCGTTAAAAAGCCTTTCATTGCATTGAGCCAAGGCTTATATACATGGTTATTGAGTAAAAGCAGTATTTCTAGAACTTTGTTTAAAAGAGAAAGCAGGTCACCACATAAATCATGACACCCACCAAATAATGAATAATGTGGACCTCAACCACACAAAAGTATGTCAAGTTATTTTCTATTCTGATGCTTTACCTACGAATTAGCTAAATATCCAACATGTAAAAAAATAATATTTACTTACACACACACACACGCCACAAAAAAAAAAAAAAAAAAAAAAAAAAAAAAAAAAAAAAAAAAAAAAAAAGTCCTGAGTTTTATAAATGAAATATTACAGTCACAAAGTATTCGAGTTTCAAGGTTCACCTCTACACTCTCCAGGCCAGCCCATGCACAAGCACATGAACACACACGTAAGACCGCTGGACATGCCATCCACTTGGCTCTGGCAACCACCCGCACCAATCAAAAGGCTCCAGAGGGACCCAGAAACACCAAACCAGGGCACGGGGGCAGAGAGCGGCATCTCCTCTGCCTGACCTCGGGCTTTGTGCGCTGGCTGCAGAACCTTGGACAGCGGTCTCCCGGCCCTCCTCTCGGTGCAGCCCAGCCCAGCTCAGCCCAGCCCAGCCCAGCCAGCCCAGCCCAGCCCAGCCCAGCCCAGCCCCGCGGCTCGTCCCACTGCGCTCCCCACCCGCACTGGGTGGGCATCTGCACTGCCCACCAGATTCCCTGGAGAAAGGGAAAACAGACTAAGTTGCACCCATGGTTTGAGTATTTTTTTCTTTCCCATTCTGAAATACCTTTCATTTTTAACACAGATTGGTTGGCCAAATTCTCAAAACATAAAGCAATATCATCTGGTATTCAGAAGCGCAGAAATGTAGGTCACTGGCATTTGTCTAGTTCATTAAAGTTTCACACAATCGTTTTCAATGTCAACAACTTTTTCTCTATCATTAAAAAAGTATTTCTCCTTGTTGGGTGTGTGAAGGGAAAATCATTAAACAGCATAAATTTGCTGTTCTGTTCATTTTCAACCTTTTACACCCTGATGTTCTGTTGAGCAACTGAGGACTTCGTGTTAAAGTTCAGTCAAACTAAACTGTCATACAAAAAATTTCTTTAAGCATGCAAATGCTGATCGTTTGGCATCATGGAATAGTAGGTCAATTTCTAATTATGGAGTTACTGAAATGACAGAGATTTCCTTACAGCAATAGATATCTATTTATATTGGATACCCTTTTTTACTTATCCAATTCACTCTGGAAATAAAATATGTTTACATTATCAGTAACTGAGTACATAGCATATATGCAATGAGCGTGTACACACACGGTTTGCAATCTAAAAACAGTTGAATCAACACTTCTGGTGATTCTACCTTACTTTTGTCAGGTGTAGAAAGAAAAAATTAATACAGCAACTTTCCTATCTTTATCCAATTAGATAGCAGGTTATTTCAGCTTCTGGAGGGACTCTGGATCCATTTTTGTGGCAAATACATGCACACATTATACTAAGTTATTGGTGAATGGGATTGTTTAGGAATAGCCTGTTAACATGAAATGATTTCAGAAGGCCCTGCTGAAGTTACAGAGCACAGAGGTACTGCCAGGCCTCCTATTTAGAGCAGTGATTTGCATGCATTGTTGTGTTCCACTGCTAAAGCAGAATTTGGTTCAGACTGGTTAGTGCTACAGTAATTGAGATAACCTAGTTCAGGGCAGAAATACTAATTTCCTACCAAGTACTCAAACAGGGGGAAAAGCATGCAGTTAGCTATTTTAGGCACCGGGGACAACTCTTTTCTTCTGTCCTGTCTTGAGAGCTAGGCCAACTAACCTTGTGCAAAAGTACAGAGAAGGCAACATCTACAAGAGCCCAAGTGGGACCCTCTGCCTTCCAGCAAAGGAAAAGAAAAGCCTCTGGATCTCTCTGAGCCATCACCAGTGGCACCAAAGGAAACAGCCGCGGCTTATCAAAGCGCTGTCACCATCACTTCCCAAAGAAGGGCCACTGCGGTGCCCGTCAACAGACACTCTTGTCCTCCAGCTTTCCTCAGCTCCACAGATTTTGGCAAAGCGCCGGCAAACACTGTCCCGCTCCCGCTCCCGAGGAGGCCCGGCGCCGCACGGCTCTGCCGCCGTCCAGCATCGCCACCCCCGGGCCAAGCGCCCGGCGGAACCTACCCGGAGCCTCCGGTGCGCGCCCCTGGCCCCGCGGGGGGACCAATCGCCCGTGCCCGGGGCACCGCGGCCACCGGCACACCGAGGGCAGCGCCGTCGGGCAGCCCCGACCCCGGTCGCCGCTCCGAGCCCCGCTCATTGTCATGCAGACCCTGTCGCTGCCTGCCGCCAAGTCGCATCCCAGCCCGCTGGAAGCCGGCAGCCTAGCCGGAGCCAATCGCATATTCATGAGGAGGGGGAAATCCAGCGCTACGCTCCCAGAGGACCGAGGATCGCTTCTTTTTGCGTTTTCTCAAGCTTCCCCCTCTCTCTTCCTCTCTTTTAATAATGCGCTAAGGGGGGCATCCCGGCCGATACCCTCCGCAGCATCGCCTGCACCGTGAGAACCGCGGCCGCCGGCGCCAGGGGCAGAGAGCGAAGCAGGCACAACAGGGTCCACGGCAGCCACAACAGCCGAGGGAGGCACGCCAGCCCGACAGCCAGGGACAGGAAACACAGCAGGGGCTCCTACCTTACAATCCTCAGGACACGATTTCACCGAGTACTCATCCGACTGTAAATATTTCTGGAGCATAACCTCAAACTCTTCGTATTTCTCCTGAGCGTGCTGGTCGTAGCGCTGGTAAGCCTGGACGCACTGGCTGCAGGAGCTTTCCCCCTTCAGCACCACATCCAGACTGCAGTTCAAAGTGTCCGGATTGGACAACCCGGCGAACAACTCCCAAAGTGTGTAGGAATTACAAAAGGAAAGGTAAAAATCCGTCAGGTCCCAGCCGGGCGCCGGGCTCTGCCCCGTGCCCCGCGGCCGCCCCGACCCTCCTCGCCGCTGGCACACCGCCTCCGCGTCGCCCACGCTGAAGCACTGCCCGGACGAGGAGCCCGGGGGGGGGCACGTCTCCAGGGGCCTGGCGGTGGAGTTCCCCAGGAAAGCAGCCTTGCCGTGCCGGGGCTCGGTGCCGTTGGTGCGGCTGCCGCGGCTGCCGCCGCCGCTGCTGCCGGGGGAGGGCGGGAGGGAGGGCGAGGGGGGGGCGAGGAGCCGGGGCGCGGGGGGCGCCGGCTCCCCCATGCCCGCCAGCAGCTCCGGCTCCGCGGGCTCCGGCTTCTCGGGCGGCGGCTGCTCCTTCTCTCCGGTCCCCGTGAATTTGGCCTCGGCGCAGAACCACAAGTGATCAGAGAGCAGGACCGTGAAAAACAAGAGCGATGCCAGGGACAGTCGCCATTTCTGAGCCCTCTCTGAATCCGTGAAGGGTTTCTCGTTCTCCCGGGGTGCGAACCAGATTTTTAAGCCGTCATCATACTGCCGACTACACATCCAAGCACCCCTGGTCATATTTTGGGAACGCACAGCCCTGGCCGACTCCACCGTGAGGGCTCCTTTGCCAGTGTCACCACAATATGCATTGACTTAAAAGATTGGGGGGATTTTCTTGCCTGCCTTCCCTTCTCTCGCTCGCTTGCTCTCCCCCTCTCTCTCTCTCTCTTCCACTCTCCCCCTTCTCTCTTTCTTCCTCTTTTTGTTTCTTTCTTTCTCTTTTTCTTTCTTTCTTCTTTCTTCTTTTTCTTCCTCCGAGATATTGTTGGTTTTCGCCGGTGGCTCTGCCTTAGTCTCACCACACGAAACAGCCCCAGTCCATCCAACGCGGAGTGCCGTGGAGAAGATAAGAGCAATAACGCAGAGAGAGGAGGAGGAGGAGGGAGAGGAGATGGTGGTGGTGGTGGTAGTGGTGGTGGTGGTGGTGGTAGTGGTGGTGATAGTTGGTGGTGGCGGGGCTGCGCGACTGGTCCTTTCCCCCTCTCACCCAGGCATGGTCAGATCGCAGCTCCCCATCTCCCTCCTGAGAAAAGCCCACTGCGCCCGGACAACCGCATGCCGCGTCCCCCGCTGCCGACGGACGGCTACGGGAGGGCTCCTCGCCTCCTCTTCCTCCCTGCCGCCGCTGCTCCTCTTGCTCAGCCCCGAGCCACGGCACAGATGCCTGCACCGCTGTCTCAGTCTCTTTCTTCTCTCCCCGCTCCGCTCTAACTGGAGAGACGCTGCTGCAGGGCTCCCGGAGCGCTGCCGAGGATGCTGAAGAGGAGGAGGAGGAAGAGGAAGAGGAGGAGGAGGCTGCCGGGGCCGCCGCCGCTGCTGGTGACAATGGGCTGCGGCTGCCGCCGCTGCTGCCGCCGGGCGCGGTGTCCCCGGGCGCACGGGGCGGAACTGCCTGGCTGGGGGCCTCCGATGGGCACAGGCATCTTGGGCCCCTGGGCTAAGTTGCCGCCATCTTCGTCCTGGAGAAACACTTTTTTGGGGGGAGCTCTGCCTTTTGCGTCATCTCCTCCCGCGCCGAGATCGCTCTATCCTGGCGCATTGGCAGCAGCAGCAACTCTGCCTCCTCCTGCCTGAGGAGGAGGAGGTGGGTGATGCACTAGGGACCACATGGACCCTCCAAAGGGCTTCCTCGATGCGACTCTTTCTACTCATCTCACCGAAGGGACTGCTCAGTAGTACTGTCCAGCCCTCTCCCTTCAGGGTCTCCTTCCCTTTGTGGCCGTGGAACACCATGTCCATGCAGGATGGTGGCTGGAGAGGTCTGTCTCTGTGTCTGTCCTTGTCATAGCAAATCACAAGTGGCATATGACACTACAGGCTCTGCATCCTGGGCAATTTTGGCCACACAGTAAAATGTCTGAACATAGTTGCCTGTCTCTCAGTCAGAGAGCTGTAAAGCAAAATGACCATAAATCCCAAGATGTTTCCCCAAGAGAAGTTTTGCAAAACCCTGGTTCAGCCCATGAGCTGGGTAAATATGGCCTGTCTGTGTGTTCCCCTGTTTAGATATCATTGCTTAGAGAGAAAGGCAGAGGGGCCAGGCTTAGCCCTACTTCTAGGGTGATGAAATCACCTGGGGTGGTGATCTCCACTTGGACCCAGGGCAGAGATCCAAATACCATCTGTGCCCCAACTGTGGAGGTTGCTCAAATAAACATACTCTTTGGACACTCCTAAGTGTCTCTCACTCCTTTCTTCTGGCTCACTTATGCACCTTAATGTAACAGCAACAGAACAACTTGGATCCCACACACAAAACAAGAGCAGGTGCCAACTAGAGGTTGAACACTGACAGATGAAGACCTGGTGTTCACCTCGAGACATCAGGTATGCTATCTGGCCAAAGGATAGCGTACCAAGACATGTATTTTAATTACTCCATTGGACTGGCAGAAGGTTTAGAAACCATATTTTTCCTTATTCCAGAGGCTTTCTCTATCCTGAAGAACTCATAATTGCCCTTGGAAAAGGTGTGCAATATATTGCAAAAGGTGTCTTTGCCCCATTTTTTGGTTAAAGAAAGCCTTTTTTCTTAACAAACATAATCTGTAATAGAATACATCTTGCTGATGGTTCTTGAGTTCAGCTTCAAAAAGTGTAGAGGAAAAAGACCTGAGACTAAAGAAGAGAGCAAAACTTGTACCTTATCTGACTGCAACTGTCATTAACAGAAGGGTGATCTTAACATGAACAGAAGGAATGTGCTGGAATTTCTGTCACTTTGAGCAATAAATCAAGGCTGGATGTTTTTCAAAAGGAGATCCTAAAGAAGATGCAGATGTGAGGTATGAATTGCTGAGAGAGGTTCTATGCCCTGTGTTGTGTTGGGGGTCAAAGCTCATTTTCATAATGGTCTCATCTGGCCTTACAGGATCTATGAGTCAAATACTACAGCAAGCAGAAGTTATCTGTGGATTTTATTTTGATAGGGTATTTAAAGACACAGAAATAAGTGTTAATATTGTAAGGAAAGGTCTACAGTACTCAAAGCAGTATGTGTCTTTGCAATTTTCAGTCAATCAGCTCACACTGTCTGCTAATGGTACATTATTAATTTTGGTCTTGGAGCTTTAATTGCAATGATTTGACATACTGGCTTTTGTACTGAATTTGCCTTTTTGTAATGCTTTCTGTTTTGGGACAAGGCTGTGACCAAGGTTTTTAAAAGCATACAGGACAACTTTGCTATTCTAAAATGTAACATCATTTATTTAATTACCTTTTGCTAGTTTGATTACATATTTCTTGTTAGAATAAAGCGACTGAAGCAGAAATAGAGGAAAAAAAAAAGAAAAAAAAAAAAACAAACCAAAAATAACTGGAATAAGCAACAGATTCCTGACATCAGGTCTGAGATTTTAAAAATGTGCTGTACTAATACACGTGGCAGGGACTGTGTAATTATTCTGTGTTTGACAGACAAGCATGAGGTGAAGAAAGTTAGCTTTGGAGTCCATGCCTGGCAAAGAGGCTTAATTTATATATATATATATAAAATGTTGTTTCCCTTTTGTCCTGTTGGGAAAAGGAGAGGATAAATGCCAATTTTGCAATCCACAATGAAATTATAAAAGTTCTTTATCTCCATATTGGAACTTCAAGAATTGTTACTGAAAATGTACTGGTATTCAGATCTCCTTTGAAACTTAATATAAAAATGAATTCCTAAGTCTTTGCTCCTCTGTTTACACTTGTCTAAGATCAAAGAAAATATACTCGAAGTCAGTATGCTAGGATGGTTTAGATATACTTGGCTTCTCAAAAAAAAATCCATTTTCATGTCATTTCATATTTTCACACATTTCCCAACTTTTTTCTGGAAAAATAGAGTGAGAGTTCTTTTTCAACACCTAGAAATAAACTATGACAAGAAGTTTAGTATTTTCAAAATGAGCATGTCCTTGCTTTTCCAGTGACAGTTTTCTGTAACAGAGAACACATCACTCAGAATTGTTGTTTTTCCTCTTGTGTTTTGCCCAAAGCCTCATTCACTCTCCACCTTGCATGGTGAATAACTTGGAACTTAGTTTCAGTAGCTGGTTTCTGATGGATCTGAACAAATGCAGTTCAGTTCTCTGGTGCCCCTTAGTGTTAGGTCTTGGAGCTCAAGGGAAAAAATAAAGCTATAAAATAATATCTGAAAATCAGGAAGCTGTATGCAGTGAGGCAAAGAATCTGAATTATACACTGTATCTGCTTTCTCTAAAAGTTCCTTCAAAATTTTTTTACCATAAATCTGATCTAAATAACAGCATTTTGTTTGAAATAGTTTAATGAATTATATGAATGGGAAGAAAAGTGAAAAACTTTCCTCGAAAATATCGCTACAGAAGCATGTCCCCATATTCATCATTCTTCCTAAATAATTCTAGTGGTGCAAAATACTTCACATTGAAATTACATATTTTACTGGGAATATTTATTACTCGTGTTTCAAAGCTTGGCAAGTGTGAGGAACTCATGGAATCCTGTCTCCCTAGCTGGTAGAATCACCAGATGTTTCACAGATGGATCTCCTTAAAATAATGTGGTTCAGTGTCATCTCTGCCACACTGTGCTTTAATCAATACAAACAGAGCTGATGTTCTTTCATTCTTGGACTCATAATATGTAAGACAACTGATTTATTGAGCACTAAAAGCAAAGTCTAACAGGATAAATTTGCCCTAATTCCAGATACTTGGAGCTATTGTTTAACCTACATACCTTGTGTTTTCTTTGTGAAAATACTTTAGCTTAACTAGCAGAAATATTTATTGATGTAACACATTAATGGTCATAAACTTTTCCGAGTAGAGGACTTTGTTGTTTCAAAGTAAATGTTGTTATATTTTTGCCTAATATCTGGCAAACAGCATAATTTCCTGCATAATTCTCTTGCATTACTTTGTTGTTTACAAAATTGTAACATCAAAAGAGCAGTATATAGGTCTTTCAGATGATTTTAACAGGTTTGAGAGACATGTCTTATATTTGTAATGTATATTCCTTATATAAGAAAAAACTTATTTTGTAATTGCTAGGGAGCATTTCTTTTTGTAAAAGGCAGGTTATTTTAAAGAAACTAGATTTCATTTTATTTTTGGTTGATTGGTTCTACTGATATGAGCAATTGTTGCAAAAGTTATTAACAGAAATACTCAGTTACACCTTTGCACTGGAGGCTCATCCACCACTTTTAATACCAAGCAAACATAATCAAGCCCTTTATTAGTACGTCAGTGATTTTTTAACAGTTTAAACTATTTGTCTTCAACAGAAATATCTATGCATTCGTTGTAGGCAAAATATGTCATTTACGTAGTTTAACATCCTCAGAGTTGTTTAGTTTTTGGTTTATTTCAACATCTTACAAAAAATTTTGGGTACTGTATTACCCATTACTTGGAAAGTGGATCAGAGATTTAATTATTTCAATCAATTTGATAAGAATAATACCCGTGATGGTTGTAAGATACAAAGAAGTTAAGAATACTGAAGAGCTATTTTTTTTTCTCATCACATTCCTAATGTCTTAG